CTTGATTACCGCCGGGAACTCGTAGAGCTTCTTCGTGGAATGCGAGCGCGGCAATCTCGCATTCCACACGCGCGAGGGTGCGGTTCCATGGAGGAGGACGTGGAGGAGAAGAAGGAGTGAGGAGAAGAAGTGGAGGAGGCTGAGGAAGAGAAGGAGGAGGAGAAAAAGGAGCAGGCGGAGGAGAAGGAGGGGGAGGAGGAAGAGGAGAATGACGAGCAGGAGGGGGAAGGGTGTAGATGAAGAGAAGAGGGACGATGATGATGATGATGATGGTGATGATGATGATGATGATGATGATGATGATGATGATGATGATCATGAGAAGAAATATGATGATAAGGAGGAAGAGAAGGCAGGGGGAGAAAGAGGGAAATAAGCAGATGAAGAAGGACGAGGAGGAGGAGACGGAGGAGAGAGAAGAGTACGAGGAGCAGGAGTACGAATAGTTGTTTGGTTCCAGCTCTGGTAGCAGACCAATGTCAAACATGTAGATACTTGCAACGAGCGCTCTTGATGATTCGTCCAATTGCTGTGCCGAACAGCTCTAATCTCATCTGCAGCTCGAGCTACATGAAGAAAGGCATCGTCATCTCTGGAAAAAACTGGAGTACGAATAGTTTGTTGGTTCCAACTCTGGGAGCACACCGAGTTCGGGCATCTAGATACTCGAGACTAGCGCTTCCGATGATTTCCTTTTCGATTGCTGTGCCAAACAGCTCTGTAGCTCATCTGCAGCTCGAGTTATTTCAAGAAAGTCATCATAATATCTTGAATCAATTTGCAGAGGACGACTAGTTTTTCGAATCCAGCTCTGGTAACAGAACGAGTTCGGGCATCTAGATACTCGAGACTAGCGCGTCTGATGATTTTCTCTCGATTGCTGTGCCAAACAGCTCTGTAGCTCATCTGCAGCTCGAGTTGCATCCATAAGCTCATCATCATATCTGACAAAATAACAGAGTACGAATAGTTTTTCGGACCCAGCTCTGGTAGCAGACCGAGTTCGGGCATCTAGATACTTCAGAGTAGCGCTCCTGATGGTTTTCTTTCGATTGCTGTGCCAAACAGCTCTGTAGCTCATCTGCAGCTGGCGCATGCGTCCGCCACGCCCAGCACAGCGTCTCGTGGCCCCATAGGGAGCTCCACCGAATGCGTTGCTCACAAAGACGGTACTCACAACTGCACATGGTTGGGTCCTTCGCCAGGCCATTTTTTTCGTTTGTTCGTTTGTGTTTAAATACGTAATAATCAATGTGTTGTTTCTTTGTTTCTCGCTCTCCACCCTGGATGTAACTTTTTAATTTCATATGCAATGCGTCTCTTCGGCCAGCTAGCGAAAACACCGAGTGCAAGTTCAGGAACAGAGAACCCACGCAGCTTAGCTTGGCTTGGCTTGGCACATCGACTCGATCGAAGGTACCTCTAACGTCGGAACGATGCAGAAGGACGCCGCGACCTGAACAAAGGGCATTGATGCAATGCAAAACAAAATATACCACTGCGTCGCGCCGAACTCACTCGCGCCATAAGCGCCAGACCTGTCCAGCTGCGGACTGAAGAGCTCCAGAAACATTGGCTCCACGATCTTCGAAAGCTCAGCGGTCAATTGGATGCCCCGGTAGTTGTCCGGACAGCTAACGGCAAGCTTCTCGTAGTGAGGGTGGGCCCAGTGCTCTCTTCAAGGCAACGGCGCTGACCTGTTCTTAGAATACGGGCAAGCTTAGCGACAGGCACGGCCAATGTATAGCTGCACTGCTTCAAGACCCTCGCAGGCAAGAGGTCGGGGCCCGCGCCGCTGCCCCGCCGGGGGAAAGACAGCGCGGCGCGAGCAGACCGGGTGCGAAGAATGCAAGTGCCCCGTCTCGTAATCAGAGAATTCGTTGACTACATGTGCTGGCAGACACCGTTTTTGACGGGTAGTTCAGCATATGAGATCGGCCTTGGCACGGGCAATAAAAGGCCCACGTGCTATTTGGGGGCTCCAAGAGGGAAGAAGTGGGCTGATGGGCGTGAGACAGCAGCTGGTGAGAAACCTTCCGCATTTTCTTTGCTGCCTCGGCCATGACCGCGCAGCTCCTGACGCTGCGGTTCGCGTAAGATTGAAAAGCATTTTCGCCAATTTACAACTGCCGCCGGAAAAGCGGCCGTATCAACAGCGTCGCGCTAGGACGCGCAGCCAATAAACATTCATCAGACAGCCAGGGATGTGACATTTGCACGTTCTGTTCTATCGGCGGAGTATGTAAATTCATAAAACAACTTTTCAATTGATCAAGAAACCACTAAGTCAGTTGTGCAATTGTCTATACAAGACCAATACTGCTGAGAAAAACGGTGTGATATGATGTGATATGGATCCCCCCATATTTTGAGATTGCCGTAAATGTCGTTCACCGTGTTGAAAAGACAACGGTGGCATGCAGAGAAGCGAACGTGGCACTATGGTCAGCTATTTTAGTAAAAATTCCCGTTATCATTAAATATGGATCATCAGACAAGAAAATATCAAGGAGGTGAGGGTCACAAGTTGAAGCCCGAATACACTTGCGAAAACCGAGCTCCAGACATCAATTCTTCAGAATGGTGCCCTCCTGGGATACATGGCGGCTGAATGTTTATCATGAACATTCGTATCGCCCGTGGCAATGCTACCTATGCATTGCGCGGCAAGAGAATTCCACTCTTCGCCGAGCGCCGCGCGAGAGATTCCACGACGCGGGCGACGATGCCAACGACAAATTAAAACGTGCCCCGCTTCTGCGTGCATAAATGTCCGAACGCGCTCCGCAGACAGAGAACGGAGAAGAAGATAACGCTGCTCAACGACAGAATCTTACGCAAATATGGCAACGCCTCCGTCAAAACCGTTCCGGCCCCGGCGATCGACCAGAGAATGCCCGGGAAGACCAGGGCAGACAACGTATTCATTTAGCCAAGTTTCAGTTGAACAAATATCAGAGGGAGGAAAAGGAAGACACGAGAGACAAGCAATTAATTCGTGTTTGTGCATTTAAAAACGCTGAATGTTGAGAGTGAGAATTGCGAGGCTAGCCCAATTTAAGGATGGCTTAGGCCGAGATTCGCCGCGGCCACCATCCCGAATTGCGAAACGTGAAGAATTCATGCAAAGTCCGTTGGCCCAAGGGGGGGCGAGGAGGAAAGGAGCGCAAGGGGGCGGGGCGAGAGGAGGGAAAGACGAACAACACGGATCCCTCGACAGTTTGGGTATAAGACCGCTCGAAAATCCATCTCGAGAAAGGTCCGGCGCAAGGCTGGTCGAAAAGTCGCCCTGAGAATTCGCCTGCCTGTGGCTGGTCGAGAATCCGTCCTGATAATTCGCCGGCCTAAGGCCAGTCGAAAATCAGTCTTGAGAATTCGCCGGCCCAAGGCGAGTCGAAAATCCGCCCTGAGAATTCGCCAGCTTAAGGCTGGGCGAAAATCCGTCGTCAGAATTCTCTGGCCTCAGGTCGTCGAAAATCCGGGTCCTCCGGCAGGGGGTACTGGAGTGAGCGAATTCGAAAACATGCGACGGTTCGGCATCGAGGCTACGGGGACCTCGTCTTCGCGAACGTTGACCTGGGAACCGCTCGCAGCGCAAAACGGAGGGCGAAGGTCGAAGACGGGAAGGTGTAACAATGAACGGTTCTCCCGCATCCCTATGGCAAACGCAGCATGACAGAACTTCCACATAAATTGCCAGTAATACCCGTCGACTCTTGCTTAAACGCAAGAACGCTGTTCACAGGGACTTCACGAGATTTAAAATCAGATTTCACATTGACAGAGGGGGAGTTCAAGACGCTCCTTGATCATGTCAGAAGTTACGCAGACACCAATCTTGGAGATTTAATGGTGTCTTTCTTCATCTTAATTGGCTGGCGAGTCGAAGAGAGAAACTGCTTGCCGTCTAGCTCATCTAAAACCCGTTGCGCCACGTCAGAAGATGAAAATTCAGCGCGAGGATTTTTGAAACAAGACGATTCGACCTAAGACCGCTGAAGAAATGACCTACCACACAGGAAGGCGCTGAAGCAGAAGCACCAATAAACCGTTCAATATCGCGGACGCGCTCGGCCAAGTCGGCACTCGTGAAGCCAATGAAAGCGATCCGCTTGTGTGCCGGGTCCATGGAATTGAGCATTTGGAATTGCCGCTTGTCCAGGCTGGACACGGGGCCTGTGAGACGACGTCGAAAGTCGGCCATCTCGTCCTTGACGGGGTCAACGTCCTCGAGATTGCAATTTTAGATTCTGCTGTAATCTGAGTGTGCAAGCTCGATATTCTGCTTCGAAGTCGTCTCGTTCTTCAAGCTCATGTTGGTCATGATGAAAGTGAGCTTTTCGTCGATCGAAGTGGAGCCCGGGGGGACACCGCCCACTCCCGCGCCCGGGGGGGCGAAACCCGCGCCCGGCCCAGAACCGCCACCCGCAGGGCCAGTTCCGGGTGCACCACTCACCTGCGCAGCCGAAGCCGTCGCAGGGAGGCCTGGCGGAACTCCTCCCAATAGAGTACTCGGCGGGGCCTCACCGCTACCGACGCCTGGAAAGGCGGGGGCGGGAGCAAACTGCCCGGCTTCTGGGCCAGTGGCAGTGTCTATCAACGTCTCCTCGCCCTTCCGCGCGTTCTTCTTCGGCGGGCGCCTTGCTTGGAGACTTCGAAAGAGCCGCTGCCACCTCCGCGCGACGTTAGTTCAACCGCTTCGATCCAGCAGCAAGAGGACGCGCAGAGGTCGGCCGGCCAGAAGATGCTCCCGTCATACCGGACATCGCGAGAAAGGTAAGCGGTGAGATAATGCTCCACCAAGAGCTCGCAAAATGAAATTTGTGGTATGACCGCCCCAGCGACAAGCTTCTTGATATGACCAACCCAGCGACAGGCTTCCACAATATAGCTCATGCCAACAGCACTTGAGCCACAACAAACTTGAACTTGAGGCTCATTCGAGTTTTTTTTTTTTTTCTTCCCCCCCGATTTTTGTTTGTTTTTGTGTTCTCTCTCTCCATATACACATCTCGGTTTACGTCAAACAACTGTCGTAGGGAGGCGGCATCTGCCTGCGGGCATCCGTTGCGCGTGATTTTAACACGGCCAGCGGACGTGCCGCGCCCTATGCGCGTCTAGGCCAGCGGTTGCCATGCGCTCTATGCGCCGTGGTGGCCGTGCTGATTTGGAGCGGCGTGGCGGCGGTCTGCTGCCGTGTTGCCGTCCGCGCTCTTGATTTTTCGACGTGTCTTCCTTGCCCCGTCTTCTCCCTCCTCTGCCCTTACTGTACAGTGGATACGGTAGGTTTGCGTCGTGTCGACCAGCGGCGACCCCGCCGCCGACGTTCAAGGTTGAACGCCGACGGCGACCCAGAATCGGTCGATGTTGAACGATTGGACGTTGCGGCAGCGGCCGATCGTTCAAGGTTGAACGATCCCTGCGGTGTCAGAAACCAACGCCGGGGTCGGCACGACACGAACCTGCCGTACTCGTGTTGCCGTGCTCTCGGTGTGTGTGTTTATATATCGTCTCCTTCCTTTTCGTGGTTCCCATTCTCCGTATCGTTTCCTCGCTCGTGATGCATCGCTTTCCTCGCTCGTTTTGTTGTTGTTCGTGATCTTATTCTGAGCAGCTGTTCGTTGTCTTTCCTTTGATTACTGGACTTTGTCTGTCTCTCTCTCTCTCTCTCCTCCTCTCTCTTTCTATCTTTCTCACTGACTGTTTCCCCGCCAGCCCGCCGAAGGTGGTGCCTCTGGCCGACGGAGACACCATTGCGTAGCGTATTGGGCAAGAAGTTGGTTGACTCATGTGGCGCAGAGAGCAACTATCTTAATAAGAACTGCAGCAATCAAACCGACACAAAATCAAAGGAAGGAGCGGCGCGGGAGCCCCGCCCCCACCCCCATCCCCCGAATGCCAACACTGGGCCAAGCATCCATGATCCCGCTCCAGCGCCAGCCAGCGGCCACGGCGCGGGGGTTGGGGGCAGGGGGGCGGTGGAGGAGGGAGGGGGGAGAAAACGGGGAGAAAAGGGCCCGGCCCGCGTGCACGGCAAGCGCGCGGAGCGCGCGCCTTGCGCTCCACGCAAGGTTGCCGGACGGAACGGAAAGAGGAGAAGCCAGGGGAGGGGGGGAGGGCAACGCGCGGCAGCATCGGCAGGCAGCGAAGAATAATAAACAAAAACGAAGCAGGCACAGGAAAGGAGCAACGATATAGATACGACAAGAAACGACAATGATGAACACAAACGAAGGAGAGGAACAACTATACCGAGAGAGAGAGAGAGAGAAAGAGAGAACGAGAGAAAGAGATGCAACAACGAGAAGAGAAGAGGCGGGAAAAGAAGGTACATGCAGGAAAGTGAAGCCGAACAACCGCCCAGTTTCATCGTCCGCTTCCAGTCGGAGTACTTCCGCAGGGACTGAGACGCCGCTGGACGCACGCCAGCTGACGAACTCGGGCCACGATGGAATCTATGTGTTGGGAAAACGAAAGAGTTCACATGGAATGTGTTGAAATGGTTGAACATCTCGTGCGCGCGCCACAGGATCCGCAAAACGATAATACATTCTCGTGCCGCCAAATGCAGATCGCACGAGGTATTCACGGGTTCGGAAAGGGCACGGATCTTGCATGTGGCGTTGGTGTCTACGAGGAGCATGAATAGGGACAGGAGAGATTTCAAGCTGAAGAAGGCCCCGAGACATGCATGACCACAGCCTAACATGGTGCGGTGAACGGGGCCCAGATGCGCAATGTCCTGGCGGATGCGGGGAGGAGCAAGGTTGAAATGGTGAAGGGCGTCTGCGTCAGAAGGGCACGGTGCACAAGAAATTACACAGAACACTGTCTGAGGGCAGACGCCCAGATGCGGAGGCACGAGAAAGCAGCCCTAGACGGCCTGAAGCGCCCATGAATTCCCCGAAGTAACCGTGAGAGAGCTGCAGGCGGGCCTCAAGAGGTCCCAAGGCACCCTCAGGACGCCGTCGATCTGCCCCGAAGAGGCGCCCAAACGACCCCCGAAGAGGCAGTCAAGACGGTCCAAAATTCCACCATGCGACAGCAAGAGGCCCCAAAACGCCCCATCCCTGACATCAAGATATTTTTAGTCCACTGAGGCTTTCCGTTTCCGAGATGCCTGGGTGACCTCACGTTTTTCGGATAAGGGCAGCCTTCTTTGGCATCGATCTTGGGTAACTAACAAACATTCGTGCGCATTGGCAGCAATACATATATGTTATAATGTATATGTATATGTATACATTATATTTTAATATATATATATATATATAGATTACACATCCTTGTATGCAGCGTACAAACATGGAGGTCATATTGCATTACCCTCGGCTGTGTTGATCCACCTTACATGACATTTCGAAGTATCGTCTTTGGTTTCGGCGTTGTTGTTTCGTTTGTGGCGCGTGTTCTGGTTTTGTTTCGTCATCGACTGTCCCTGGCCCTGGTCTTGCTTTCTCTCGGCACCAATTCGTTTGTGTGCCCATCCGATGCCGCCAATTTCTTGAAGCCCAGTTTGTTCCCGACCGCGTTGCCGCCCCGTAGAGTTGGTTCAGTTATGTTCAGTTCGGTCCCCATTCCCAACCTCGGTGCTGAGCTTCGTTTGCCGCCAACTGCATTGGTTCGAATTTATCCTGTCTCGTATCCTTCCAGGCTTTGGTGACGCCGCTTGTTCCCGCCATTTTCTTTCGTTCTGCCGTGCGTCTGGTTCTCTTCGGCGTTTGCGTGTTCCGTCCGTTTCCTTTGTTCGGGCTTGTCCCGTAGTGCCATTGGCGTTGGCGTTGCCGTCGCAGCCAACTTCCTTGGAGCGGCTTTGTTCCCTTGGCCATGGTGTTCTTCGGCCAGGCCCGATGCTGTGCCTTCTTTGGTTCTGTGGTCCACGCGCAAGTGTCGCAAAGGCCGTCGTCCACACTGACGATGGAGATGGTCGTTTCGTGTTCAGCAGGTGCCGCCGTCGTCGTCGTCGTCGTCGTCGTCGTCGTCGTCGTCGTCGTCGTCGTCCATCCTCTTCATTCTTAATATCCTTGGCTCAAGCGCCGACGTCTGCTCCCAATGCGGTGCCCTACCGCGGGGGTCGCTGCGGATCTTCTCGCCGGTGGGTGCAAGATAGCGACGGCCACTGCATCGCGATGGTCGTCCCAGGCGGCACCGGCCCCGCGAGTGGAGGCGAATCGAGCGAAGCACCCCGTCAGACCCCGACTGTGACCGTCAGCACCGGGGACGCTGTCCCAAGTGACGCCGGCCCCGCGAGCGGAGGCGAGTCGAGCGACCCACCTTCTCAGACCCCGGCCGTGGCCGTCAACACCTCGGGCGCTGCCGCTGGCGCCCCTTCGGTCCCCGTGGACGCCTCGAATGGCGGCAGCATCGAGGTCGCATCGATGGCCAACCAGGTCAAAGGGACAGCTGGCACGCCCAGGAGCACAGAAGGGGGCGTGAGTAATATCCAGCCGCCTGCGGCCAGTCCCGCCACCTTGCCAGCCCAGCCGTCTGGGCGGCGGCCACTCGAGGGGGCACGAGAGGCCGTCGTGTGTGATGTTCGCGGACCTCTTGGGGGCCTGTTCGGTGCCCCTTGGGGACCTTTGGGAGCCTGTTCGGGGCCTCTTCGCGGCGCCACAGGGGCGCCTGAACGTGCCATGGGGGCACGGTGGCGGATCGGCCCCAACAACCTCAGTCCGGGCGCGGCAGAAGGCAAGAGGACCAGGAGGGTGTCCGTGGGCAGCTGCACGTCGGCGCACTCGGGCGGCGAGCTCTGGAAGACCACCGCCTCTGGCGACTGGGACACCAGGGAGCGCGGGGCCTCGGTGGGAGCAGCGGCTTCTGCCGCAAACCGCCCGCCCTCAGGTCGAAGAGGGAAGATCTGCAGAAGCATGCAGTGGAAGCCCATGCCAAAAAACACCCTGCTTGCTTTCAGGGTGCCCTGGATTTCTTGTGTTTCGATGGTTTTGCTATATAGAGAGCCTGACTCTCCCACGCCCAAAATCACTGGACGTCCCGGGGTCTCCGGGAGGGCTTCTTCTGGAAGGTTTCTTGCGGTCGAGCTCCTACTGTAAGCACATCTTTTCGAAGCTCCGCGCGGATCTCTTGGATCGGCGCTGGGCCCCCTTGGCGGCGCCTCTGGCGCCGCCCCTGGCGCTCTCCGCGCGCCCGGAGGGGGCGGGGCCCGGCGCCGATCTAAGAGATCGGCGCGGGGCTTCGGAAGGTTCTGCTCACGCATGTTTGTTCCTCCTCCAGCAGGGCTGTCGACGAGTGTCAATAGGGCCACGCAGGCGCGCGCCACGCTGCTGAACAGCGGCTGGTACAAGAGCCCCCTCGCGCAGACGGTGCGTGGCATTCTGCACGGCAAGCGGTTCGTTGCGGTCATGGTGATCGCGCTTTTCCTGGCGCTCTTCATGAACGACATTTGGGTACTGGCCGGGATAAACAGCAATTTGTGGCTGAACTTGCTTCTTACGCCGGTCATGGCCCTTTTCTTTGTCGAGCTCTGCGCGCTCACCGCGGTGGATATCACATACCTCTTCAGTTTCTTCCAGTTTATGGACATCATCGGGACTTTCTCAATGGTGTTCGACATCCCCTGGATGCTTGGCACGGATGCGACGAAGGCTAGGGAACCAAACAGCCGCGTATATGTATATGTAAACAGGCGGGCGTTCGCAGAAGGTTTCCCGGCTGCGCTGGACCCCCTCCCCGCACCTCACCCTCGGTGCGTATAGCGCGCCAGGGGCTGCGCCGAGGGTCCCGCCCAGGGATGTGAGGAGAGAGGTCTGGCGCTGGCGAAGAAAGGATCGCCGACGTCCGACGGTTGATACCAGTACCTGTGTGGACTTCGTGGTCCCAAGTCCAGTGCTTGCAATTAGGGTGCCCTTGCTTTTACTTTCTTCCATTTCGCTAGCTTGCACAGCTCCCGACCCGCCCACCTTGCGCACCGCGTCCGCCAGATCCCCAGGTTCATCCACTGTCTCCGAGTATCTCACCCCCCTCCTCGCTTTTCACAACTGCGGGCCGTGCATACCGCGGCCGCCAGATCCCCAGGTCCACCCAGTGTCCCGCGTACCCCGCCGCGCGCCTCTCCTTCCACTATGACCGCCCACCCTGTATTACGCGGCCGCAAGATCCGCAGGACCATCCAGTGTTCCGAGCGTCTCAACCCCCGCCTCGCCTCTTACGCCGGCTACTACAAGTAATTACGACTACGACGACGACTACGACTACGACAATTGTTTCTATTGCTTACTGTACTACTGCAACCACTGCTTCTGTTTATTGCTACAACTGGAACAGCTCATACTGTCATATGATGTGCCAGCAGATATTCAACCATAACATCATATGGTATGCTCCGCGGGACAGCATCGTGGACACGAGCGTACATAGTAACGTAACAGAGCGTTCTATAATCCAACGGGGTGCTGTATGTGTAGCCGAATTTTAGAGAACACAATATATTGTCATAACGTATGGCATAACAACCTACACAATACAGTACAGTAGAGCAGGTAATACTTGAATGCGATTGTAAGAATATAATATACAGTATCATAACAAAACAAACCAGACTCGAATCCACGATGGTTCAGGCGAGCATGACTGAACATAATATTCTTAACAGCATAAAAGTATATAACCCCGCAGACTCGCAACACGGCATCTTCGAACACTATGGAACACAACAGCGACCAATTGTTGGATTTGAGGACCAGTGCTCCCGACGGGCCTCACTTGCCTTGCATGTCGCGGCCGCCATATCCCAAGGACCACTGGCGGTACCTGAGAGGCCCGCCTCACGTCTTCGACCAGTTGCACGGCGTAACGGCGTCACGCCTTCCAGGCTTCACGACGACACGCCGTCACCACTACAGGCCAGGGCTACCATCACAGAACAGAACAGAAAGTATTGAAATGGAGCAGAATAGCATAGAAGCGAAGAGTTAGAACATTACATAGTGTAGTATTTGCAGAATGAAGACGAGAAATTAACATAACATTCGCAAGTGTAATGTCAGAGGGTCGAACAGAAGAAAGCACGACAGAGTGTAGTATAATCTCATGGACTAGGAAAGAGCATAACAAAGCAGTTCATGACGGAACGACGTAGTATGGAATTCTACCGAAGAGAAGAGAAGTGTATCTACTACATAACAGGGTACAACATAGGATAAACGGACAAGGCATAACATAACATGGCTGTACAGGATGGATCTTGCCATACTTGAACGTAGTTCAATATCTGGTTGCCTGCGACAAGTCCCGCAACGGTGCCAGCCCAGCATGCTCGCCGGCTCTCCTTCGAGGGGGCACCCGAGGCCCTACTTGCGAGGGATGAACGACGACAGTGATGATGATGAAGAAGACGATGATGAGGGTGTTGATGATGATGTTGATGATGTTGATGCTGCTGTTGATGATGATGTTGATGCTGCTGTTGATATGGCGATAAGGCTCCTGACGATGACGACGATGCTGATGGTGATGGCGACGACAGTGGAGATGGAGACGATACGATGTCGACAACGACGATGGTGATAGTGAGCGGATGGTGATGGTAATGACGGTGGTAGTGATGATACTGGCGATGATGATGATGATGATGATGATGATGATGATGATGATGATGATTATGATGATGATCATGATGATGATGATGATGATGATCATAGTGATGATGGTGATGATGCTTAGGATGATGATGATGATGATGATGATGATGATGATGACGGTGATGATTATGACGATGACGATGACGATGACGATGATGCTGACGATGACCATGACAGGACAGGACAGGACAGGACGTGCTCCCTCGGCCCGGAGGCTGGCCCGAGACGGGCGGCGCGGAGGCGCCTCGGCGCCTCCAGTTCGTGAAATGCTCGGTCGTCTCCAGCCAGCGCTTGAATTGCCCACCTGGCCGCCGAACGCGGTGTTCAGGATCCCAGTTGAAAGCAATGTGCGCCCAAGATCCGCTCTCCGTACGCATGCGCTCAAGCCAGTGAGCTGCTAGTCTGCGGTGTTCGTCAACCCAGTCGCGAAGCTTCAGGCGCGCCAGGCGCTGTTCAGCATCATTCGTCGCCCTCTTGAGCCAATCCTGCCAAGGCTCCAATTCAGGACCTTCGCCTTGTGTGGACAGGATGCCTGGGCGTACTCGGCCAGCACGTGCATGAGTCAACAACTCTCCTGCTGCAGTGTACGATCATGCGGAGCATTTTCCGTTGCGTTCTACGGATCTTGTCCTCGGGCTTCTTGGTGAGTACCCAGGTAGCTGACCCATACAGCAAAGTCCTTGACACGGTGCTGTCGAACAGCCGGAGGCGCGAGTTTAAAGGACATCTGCGATTGGTCAGTTCATTACGCTGTTGCATGAAACGCTTCCATGCCATATTGATTCTGTTGGCAATCTCTACATCGTGGGGGCGATCGAAGCTCACCTACCGCCCCAAATATTTGACTTTACCGTTGAAGGGCACGATCTCTATCGAAATACCGTCCACCACGGTCTGCGTGTCTTTCGGGCGGCCGGTGCCGCGCGCCGTGTTGCTCAAGATCTTCGTTTTATCTAGGTGCAGTTCCAGTCCCACCTTAGCCGCCGCTCTCCTGACGTTGGTAAGCATTCCTTTCAGCTGCCTGAGGTTTGCCGCTACAAGGAATACGTCATCTGCGAAGCTCAGGTTGGTCATCTGTCGTGCTTCTGTATATCCCATCTTTAACCCCCATCCTTGCCGTAACCATTCCGCCTTGACGCAGGCCAACACATCTTCAATGAGCGCGTTGAACAGCAGCGTGCTGAGCGGGTCTCCTTGTTTCGTCCCACGGTGAATCTCATAAGGTTTGCTCAGTCGGTCGGTGCGTACCCGGGCCGACTGTCCAGCATACAGATCTCGTATTAAATTGATATAGCCAGCAGGGACACCTTGGCGCCCCAGCGCGTCCCATAAGCTGCGATGCTCCACGCAATCGAATGCCTTTTTGAAACCAATTGCAGCAACCCAGACGTTCTGTTGCCATTCTTGGCATTTCTCCTGCAGCTGGGTGAGAGCAAAAAGATGGGGTACAATACTGAGGCCCTGGCGGAAACCCGCCTGGTCGATCGTCTGAGATTTGTCTAATATGGGATACAACCTTCCGTACAACAGCTTGGCAAATAATTTGTAGAGCACTGGGATGATCGTGATAGGGCGATAATTTCTAGCATCGGCGGCGTCCCCAGACTTGTGCAATACTGTCACGATCGATGCTTTCCACGTTCCCGGCGGGGGCGCATTCGGTGAGACAATGTTGTTGTACAGGTCGAGCAGCATATTATCGATGACGGGGCCCCCGTACTTGATCATCTCGGCAACCACTCTTTTCGAGTCACAGCTCTTGCCGCTCTTGAGGTTCGCGATCTGCGTCCTCAGCTCATCAATCGTGAATGCGGGCACGGCGTCTGCATTCAGCCTGTTCATAAACTCCAATAGCTTCGCCCAAAAATGATGAATGATACAAGTCTGCATAAACATCCGCGAAGACGTCAGCTATCCCCTGTCTGTCTGTTCGTGTCTGCCCAGAGGCATCTGTCATGCTGGCGATCAGCTGCTTTTTCTTCACAGTCTTCATTGTCGGGATGCTTTTCGTGTTACGGCAAACAGCCAGCACCGATTCGATCTTGTTTGTGGCCCGTTTCCGCCTCAATGCTCTGACTTCCCTCCTGATCTGTTTGGTTACTTGAGTCCGGTCTGGCCCACTGGTGCCCTGCAATGCTTTCCTCTGCGCCAGCAACCGGCGAAGCAACGCTTCATTCTCAGGGTGTGTCTATTTGACGATGACGATGATGATGATGACGATGACGATGATGATGCTGATGCTGATGATGATTCTGATGCTGACGCTGATTCTGATGCTGATGCTGATGATGATGATGGTGACGATGATGCTGATTCTGATTCTGATGATGATGCTATTGATGTTGATGATGATGATGATGCTGGTGCTGCTGCTGCTGCTGCTGCTGATGATGATGATGATGATGATGATGATGATGATGATGATGATGATGATGATGATGATCGTTGGGATATCGTGGGAGCCTTCTCGGGGGCTTGTAGGAGGCAGTTTCGAAGCCTTTTTGGGGGCCTTCTGGCGGCCTCTTCTTGCAGGCCTTTTGGGGCCGTGTTGGGGCTCCTTGGAGGCCGCTTGGGGTCTCTTTGGGTCCTCTTCGGGCGGAAAGCTGGAATTGTCAGTTCGTGTTCCCCCTCTTGGGCCCCTCGTGGGGCCGTCTTGGGATCTCTTGGGCTGATTGGGGCGCCTTTTGGGGCGTTTTGGAGCTCTCTTGGGCCGTCTAGGCACTCGCCCTCCTGGGGGCCTCTTAACCCCCGTCCCAAGGCGCTTGGAAAGTCTAAACCCCTACCGTGGCACTTCGGGGTATGGACTTCCCAGCCTCCCGGGGACAGGCGTCCCCGAGGACAAAACCTAATGTTTGTACAGTTCGTTGCCTACTGAATGTGTGTTCCTGATTTCCTGGTGCTGCCTGGGTCCCCCGCGCTGACATCAGGTGCGGCCTAACCGAACTCTAGCAAACCATCCCCTCCGTGACGTCCCCGTCGCCTCGCCCCAAGACATATGCATGCGGCTGGAGGGAAGCTTGAAGGGCGAGGATGGCGTCACGGAAGGGGATGGCTTGCCAGGGGTCGGTTAGGCTGCCCTCGCGCTGGCAACGCTTCCTCAAGGCGGAGACCTACTCCTCCGACGACGACGACGCGAAGCGCAACCTCATGCTCCTGAGGGCGCTGCGGGCGGCCAAGATCGGCGCGCGTGCGGGCCGCCTCTCGCGCGTGCTGCGCTTCCTGCGCTTCCTGCCATTCATGGGCGGGAACCGGGACGACCAGAGGACTCCGCGGATGGGGGGCCACATGCGAACCCTACCCCTGCGCCCCACGACTTCTGAGGGGGGGTAGGGATAGGGCTCGCATGTGGCCCCCTAGAGGAGGAAGAGGTTCGACCACACGTAAGAGTGACTCTTCGCCAGAGCGGCCTTTGGTGCGGGCCCACCTGGGATCTCCCGATCACCGAACGCGATGCGATAGCAGCGTCTTGGGCGCCCGGGTTTGGCTCCCACGGCCACCCAAAAGCCGCGCACCACGGGTGACTTTGATCCAGGGTCACTTGAAAAATAGGCATTTTTGGACTCCCAGACTCCAGTCTGCTTTTGGCGCCTTCCTGCTTCAAGGATCGACTGGCTTCCCGCTTCCCTCCTCATCAGGGGGCGGGCGGAGGCCCAATCTTCGCAGGCCTAGAGGTTGACACCAACACCAATATCGGCGGTGTTCCTCCAGCGAGGGAAGAAAGATCCCGATCTCGGTGATGGTGGTAATATTCTGGCTTCCAAGGTGGCCGAACTATTACCACCCACACCGAAATCTAGGATCATCTCCCCCATGTCTTGGTGTTGGTGCCGATTTCCAGGCCTCCAAAATCTACTTCCAGTGCCTTCCTACTTCATCATGGCTCTGCCTGCTTCTTCCGACCGAGGGGCACTGATGCCGCCACCCTTCCCTCGCCTTCGCCCTCGTGGGCCTCCCGGGAGGCCCCCGCTGCCACGGCCGGACGCCGCCTGGTCGGGACACGCCCTGGGAGAGCTCTGGGGAGAGGTTTGGGGAGCATCGACCCTGCCAAATCTCCTCCTCGTCCTGCTCCTCCTCCTCCTCCTCCTTCTCCTCCTCCTCCCCCTCCTCTTGCTCCTCCTCCTCCCCCTCCTCTTGCTCCTCCTCCCCTGGGGGTCGCGTTGAGTCTGGGTATCCTTGTCCTGTGTCTCGCGACCCATGCTTCCTGCATTCCTGTGGCAGCGTGGCCCTCGGAAGGGCCTTGTGTCCTCTCGCGTGTGTCCTCTCCGATCGAGTCCGACTGCATCAGTACCTCTGTGCACCCCCAGAGGACGGGGATCGCGTCGCTCATCTCTGGGAAGCTCGCAAACCTGCTCGGGACACGGGTCGCCTGCCTGACGATCCTCCTCGTCATGGTGGTCCCCGTCTTCGACATTTACACTTTCCCGCAGGAGGATCTGTCGCAGCTGACGTGGGTTGACCGGCTGTCCGTCAACATGATGGACGGTCGCATCAACGACACCCTGGATGAGCTGCAGATGATGACCGAGTACTACGCGGAGCTGCCTTTCGGGCCGTACGAGGTCTGCACAGGCCACTCGGTGGAGGACGACTTCGTCTGCGACACGAGCGACACGCTGGCGAGCTGGGAGCCGGGATTCAGCGCGCCGCCGAGGCAGTCGTCGGTTGTGAAGGTGTACACCGACACCTTCATGGTGAGCTTCAATATGCACGAGCCAGCGCAGCGCGAGGCTGGCATCGGCATCTGTACAATTTGCTTCATCGTGTTCCTGATGGTCTTCAGTGGCCTGGCGCTCTCCAGCGTCGTCACGGAGCTGGCGGTGCGGCCGCTGGAGCGCATGCTTGAGAAGGTCCAGGAGATCGCCACGACGGTGTTCAAGTTCAGCGCGGAGGTGACCGAGACGGAAGCAGACGAGGCAGTCGTCATTGATAATTCCAACGAGATGAAGCTGCTCGAGAAGGTGGTGCAGAAGCTCGCGATCATCGCGGAGATGCAGACGACCAGCGCACTGAGAATACCAGAGAAGACCGACGACATGAATGCCGAGGACATCGGCATTTTGAGCATGATGCATGGCGTGAACATCGTTGAGGAGAAGGAGAAGGCCCAGAGGAGGCTGACTGCGACGAAGAGGAAGCAGGCGCCGCCGCCCCACATGCGCATCGAGGACCTGGGGGTAACGCTTGACGTCTACGCCTCCTGGGGCTTCAACGCGCTCAGGCTGTCCCAGGATCAACGTAGGCGGGTGGCGGAGTTCACGATCGCACGCTTCCACGAGTCGAGCGATGGTTTCTTCAACTCGCAGGAGCAGATAAGCAACAAATCATCAGAGGCATTCAGAGGCATTTCTCATCCGCAGGTCTGCGCGGAGCGCTCGGGAAGGGGGGTGGGCAGCGCAGGGAGAGGCATTCTCCGAGCCCCGGCCCTAGAAATCCGCGCGTACCTCCGAGCACTGCTATAGAGTTTGTGCTTGCGTCGTCTACGGTCAGGAACTTTTGCTCAGCGCGTCGCTCCGCCAGTGCTGGCCCACCACGCTTTGGCGCGACACGCTGATCACGTCCTGGTCCCCAGTCGTTCACGTCCACAGCTTTCTCCAGCCTGCCGCCCTGCGGGGCGCAGTGGCACGTTATCCGTTTGCAAGGCATAGCGCGTCGCCAGGGCCGCTGCCGCGAGCTGCCACGCAAAGGCTCATGACCAGAATTTGGCCGTCCAAGGAGGACGTGCTGACCCTGCAGAGGTTCCTGCAGGCGCTCGAGAAGGAGTATCTCCCAGTGCCGTTCCACAGCTTCGCCCACGCGGCGGACGTCGTCCACGGTGTGGCGCGCCTCATGCGGGTCACGGGCTCGGAGCATTTCCTGAGCGGGCTAGAGCAGTTCTCGCTGCTCATCGCCGCCGCGGCGCACGACATCGGGCACCCGGGCGTCAACAACGGCTTCCTGTCGGAGGTCGGGCACGAGCTTGCGCTGGAGTACAACGACAGGTGAGCGACGGAAGAAGACGGGGTTGATTGCGCCGACATTCGCGCGTAAGATTCCCGCGCAAGGCCGCGCGTAAGTGCCCTCTTCTCCACGCGGTGTGCCACTCTGGCGGTCCGCATAAGCCGCGGCGTAAGGTTGCTATGACTTCTCGCGTAAGACCTTTCCGTTTTCGTCGTTCAGGTCGCCTCTGGAGAACATGCATTGCGCCAAGCTCTACAAGATCGTCGCCAATCCGCAGGCGGACGTGTTTGGGAACCTGACGAAGGACCAGTACAAGGAGGTTCGAAAACACTGCATCGAGACGATCTTGCACACCGATATGACCATGCACACCTCCATGGTGAAGGACCTGCAGATGCTCTACCAGATGAACATGGAGATATTCTCGGACGACTCGCCCGACGACGCCCAGGTGGAGCCAGTAGCCCTGGCCGAGATTGAGATATTCACGGAGGCTGGAGCGAAGACGCTTGTGATGGAGGCTTTCCTGCACTCGGCGGACGTCTCGAACCCTTGCCGCTCCTGGGAGGTCCCCAGAGGAGAAAAGCATGCCGATACCGATGTGCGTCCATGTGCTTTGCCTTTTTGTGCTTCCTGTGGGTTTTTCGTCGCCACGGCTGGATTCGGCTCGGCATTCTGGTCAGAACTCTTCCTGGGAGATATCCTGGGAGTATCGGCCTCGGTCTCTGTATGTTTCCCCAGGTCACGCAGATGTGGGCGTGGCAGTGCCTAGAGGAGTTCTTCATGCAGGGCGATCAGGAGAAGGAGAAGGGCATCCCGTTGCAGTTCCTTAACGACCGTGACAAGTTGAACAAGCCACACTCGCAAATAGGTTTCATCGAATTCATGATCGCGCCTTTATTCGCGGCCAATTTGCGTCTGTGGCCCCGCCTGCACGAACTCGGCGACAATTTGGGCAACAACATGGCGAGCTGGAAGGACATGTGGGTCGAGCAGACCTCGCCAGGTGAGGAAGAGAAGGCGAAAGTTGTTGCACGGGTGGACAAGGTCAGGAAGAGCCTGGAAGACTCCATGAACCGCACTCCGCTGTGAAAGTAAGGGTGCGCGCATCGAAGAGGTTGAACGTTCACAAGGGGCGACTGCAAGAGGGAGGGCGCCAGCGGCTCTCAGTCGCACGCTTCCGCAAAGCTGTGTGTCGCCTCGCCGGAGACCAAGGGAGATCCATACCTCGTCGGAGTCGCCTGGCACCAATGAGGCTTCGATCCCAAGTCTCTCCGCAGTCATAGGCATGTGATGGCCCTTTAGGGGCGTTTTCTCTCTGAGACGAATTGCCCTGGACGCTTCGTGCATCTCCAGGTTTGCGTTTTTCCACAGGCCGGTGGCGTGTTGAGTGTGACGAGACTGCTCACCTTGATCTACGCACGCCTCCTCCTCCCGAGAGCCTGACGGCCTGAAGGCACGAACGTTCGTCGAACGTTGCCCTCCTCCCCCCAGGGCCTGTCGGCCCTGAGGGGTTGATCAAACTGCCGCGGGGGCACTGCATAAGGCGTGTCTTCCTGGGGCCCAAACCCTGGCGCATTCCTCATTGTCTCAAGGCGAGGTGGGTGGCCCACCTTTGGCCGCCCATCGGTCGGGAGGCCCTGGGGTTCCTTATCGAAGGCATCCTCATCTAGCACCTCCACCGTAGTGAGCCACCCTCGGGTGGCTGTGGCGGTGGCTGTCATCCTCCCGCTCCGCGTGCCGAGGAGGGCCCTTCTGGCAGTCTGGGCCACCCTGCCGCCGCGGGGCTGCCGCCGCCGCCGCCCAGCGCTGCCGCCATCGCGGCCTTTCCCTTCCTCAGGAGGGAAAAACACACAGACACAATCGATCGTCGATCCCCAGGGAAATATCGGAAACTATGGGAAGTGGTGTGGGGGGGAAGACGAAAATCCACAAAGCATGGGAAAGTATGGGGAATCCACTTAGTTGTGGGTGCTTATCCGTGTGTCCTTGGGCCTCCTTGCTTCCGCCCTCTCTGCCCCCCGGTCCGGGGGGCAGAGAGCGGGCAGCGCTCTGTCCGCCTCGGCGCGGGGAGCGGCGGCGGGTCGGGCCGCTCCTGCCCCGTCCTCGTCCTCGTCGCCGTCGGAGGCGCTCTCCTCATCCCCCGCCTTCCCGTCCTCAGTTGGGTGCGGCACTTCGGCCAACCCCTCCTGAAACCTTCCCGAGGAAGGTTTTAGGAAGGTTTTTTGGAAGGTTCCAGGAATCCTGGAACCTTCCCGAGGAAGGTTTTAGGAAGGTATCAGGAAGGTTTTTCCTACAACCTTCCAACAACCTTCCAGAAACCTTCCAAAAACCGTCGCCGTCGGAGGCGCTCTCCTCGTCCCCCGCCTTCCCGTCCTGCTCCTCGCTGTGGTCCTTGCTCGCTTCCGCGCCCCCCTCGCAGACCCGGATTTTTCGTCGCAGCCTCTTTGGCAGGGGTGGTTGCCAGCCTCCTGCTCCGTACAGTCGGACTGAGATCGAGGTCGGTTCGGGGAGGGTGCCCCAATGCTCTTCGTGTCTGTTGGATGCTCTTGTGTATCCTGGGGAGGGTACCCTCGGATGTTCAGTGTGTTTTGGACGGCGGAGGGTCTCGCGTTCTTGAAGGATGTGTTTCTGTCTTAGGTCCGACTGTAATTTCTTCCTTTTCCTCGAGGGCAGGCAGAGCACAGCATACCACACACACACACACACACGCACAAGCACACGCACACACGCACACGCACACGTTCACGCGCACACGCGCACACGCATGCGCACACGCACACTCGCGCACACGCACAGGCGCGCGCACGCGCATACGCGCACACGCACCGCGCGCACGCGCATACGCGCACACGCACACACGCAGACACGCACATCGCGCACACGCACACGCACACACGCACACGCGCACACACGCACACACGCACACATGCACACACGCACACACGCGCACACGCGCACACGCACACACGCGCACACGCACACGCGCACACGCACACACGCACACACGCACACACGCACACACGCACATTCCGTAGCCATTTTGGCTCAAGCTTGGCTCAAGCGTTCGCATGCCCTCCGCCTCGGCCGTTCCGATGGCCGCCGTGCGTGGGGCTAGAGGGGCTTGCGCGCCGCTTTCTGCCGCTGCCTCGCTGGTCGAGGCGGCGGTCCGCTGGGCTGCGCTGGCGAAAGCACCCCGCAAGACGGTTGCGGCGGTGGCGCGCGCGGCGGTATCGGCTGGCCTCTTCAGGCTGACCGAGGCGCCCTTGCTACCGGCCGAGACGCCTGCTGTGGGGCTTGGACCCGTTGGTGCGCCCGATGCGCCGCCTGCCGTCGCCGCGGCGCGGGAGGCGCGTCGGCGAAGGCGTCGACGTCAGGCCGAGCGTCGTCGCGCTGCTGGGGCCCCTGCCGCTGCTGCGGCGGGCGGGACGGCTGGCGGCGACGACGACGGATTGGCGGAGACCCCCGCGGGCGCGCGGGCGGCGGGGGGTTCCCCTGCTGCCGCGGCTGCTGGTGTAGCAGGTGCTGCTGGGGCTGCGCGCGCGGGCTTGGAGCTCGTGCTGGCGGCTGGGGCGGCGCCTGCGGTGCCAGGCATCGCGATGTCGGACCTCGTGTCCGACCTGGACGACGAGTGGGCGGACGGCCTCACTTCCCGCCGGCGGCGGAGGAGGCGGAGGCGGGTACAGCCGCGCGTGGGCGGGGGCCCCGCGTCTGCTTCGACGTCGGCGGCGGCCGAGCTGGCGGCGGCGCCCTCGGCGCCTGCGGCTGGCGGTGCTGGCGGCTCGACGGCGACGCTCGACGACGTCCAGGCGCTCGCGCAGAGCTTGCTCGAGCAGGTCGGTGCTTCGCCGTGGCACTTTGCCGAGGTGCGGCGCATGCTGGGGCAGTTGCCGGGCGTGGCCCGCGGCGCGTGACGCTGGTTGGGCCCGCTGGGCCACCGCCAAGTCGGCGTGAGGCATCGGCCAAGTCGGCGTGAGGCGGGCGCTCCTAGGGGAGCAGGCGGCGCAGTGTGTGGGGCGCTGCGCCGTTCGCCGCCTTCGCCGTCGCCGCCCTCGCCTACGACGTGCTCGTGGTGCTGGAGGGCGGCCCATCGGGTGTCGGACTCGGTGGAGGTGGCCTTTGGCTGCCGCGCGCACAGCTTGGCTGCGTGTGCTTTGCTGATGACAAAAAAACTCACACACGCACACACGCGCACATGCATACACGCACACACGCACACACGCACACACGCGCACATGCAACAACGCACACACGCACACACGCACACACGCACACACGCACACACGCGCACACGCACACACGTACACACTCACACACGCGCACACACGCACACACGCATGCACGTACACGCGCATTCGCGCACACGCACACACGCGCACGCGCACACGCGCGCACCCGCGCACACGCACACACACACACGCACACACGCACACACGCACACACGCGTTCACGCGCACACGCACGTACGCACACACACACACGCACACACGCACACACGCGCACACGCACACACGCACACACGCTCGCACGCACACACGCACACACGCACACACGCACGCACGCACGCACGCACGCACACACGCACGCACGCACATACACACGCACACACACACGCGCACACGCAGACACGTTCACACGCACACGCGCACACACGCGCGCACGCTCACACGCGCACGCGCGCACTCGCGCACGCGCGCACATCCACACACGCGCGCACGCACGCGCGCGCACACGCGCACACACGCACCCACGGACACACGCACGCTCACACGCGCACACGCAGTCGCGCGCGCACGCACACACGCACACACGCACACACGCACACCAACACACGCACACACGAGGACACGCGCACACGCGCACGCGCACACACGCGCACATGCACACACACGCACACATGCGCACACGCATACACGCACACAAGCTCACACGCGCACACGCGCACACGCGCACACGCGCACACTCACACACGCACACACGCAGACACGTTCACACTCACGGACGCATACACGCGCACACGCACACACGCACACACGCACACGCGCACACGCGCGCACACGCACACACGCGCGCACGCGCACACACGCACACACGCACACACGCACACACGCACACACGCATACACGCACGCACACACCCACGTATGCACGCGCACACGCAGACACGCAGACACGCACACACGCACACACGCACGCACGCACGCACGCACGCCCGCGCACCCGTGCACACGCGCACACGCGCACGCGCGCACACGTGCACACTCGCGCACGCGCGCATGCACGCACGCGCACACGCACACACGCGCACACGCGCACACACGCACACGCGCGCACACGCACACACGCACGCACGCGCACACGCAGGCACGCTCACGCCCGCACACACACACACACGCACGCACGCACACACAAACGTACGCACACACGCACGCACGCACACACGCACACTTGCACTCACGCGCGCGCGTGCGCACACACGCACACACGCACACGCCCACGCACGCGCGCACACACGCATACACGCAGCCACGCAGACGCGCACTCACGCACACGCGCACACGCGCACACACGCACACACGCACACGCGCGCACACGCGCACACGCGCGCACGCGCTCACGCGCACACGCGCGCACGCGCACATGCACGCACGCGCGCACGCAGGCACGCTCACACGTGCACGCGCGCACGCGCGCACACGCGCACACATGCACACACGCACACGCGCGCACACGTGCACGCGCTCACACGCGCACACGCGCACGCGCACACACGCACAAACGCACGGACGCACGGACATGCACACGCGCACGCACGCACACACGCACACACGCACACACGTATGCACGCACGCGCACGCGCTTACACACACACACACGCACCCACGCACGCTCGCACGCACGCGCGCACGCGCACACGCAGACGCACGCGCACGCACGCACGCACACGCACACGCGCGCACACGCACACACACGGGCACACGCGCACACGCACACACGCGCACGCACGCACACATGCACACACGCACGCACACACGCACACACGCACACACGCACGGACGCACGGACGCACACACGCACAAACGCACACGCACA